CGTGTATGACGGGTGCTAAAAGATAAACCACTTCTCACGACTGCCTGTCACTTAGAACAAGACAAAGACCCCCCGCCACATAGCCCTTCACAGGCTGTCGGGGCAAGGGCTGTCAGCGCGGTCATGTTGTTACACATCGTAGCAGGAGGTCATTTGAGGCTGAGTCGACCTAGGGGAGGCACAGGACACGGTTCAGATAATCGCCAATCGTGTTGGCCGTGAGCGGGAATTGAACTCGGGTCGCCGGGTTCGTGGCGCAGCGGAGCGCTAACCACTGCACCACCGCTCCCCAACACACTCAACATAGGCGGGCGCACACACACACACGTGCACACACGTGCACACACGTACACACACGTACACACACGTGCACACACACGTGTACACACACACGTGCACACACACGTACACACACGTGCACACACACGTGCACACACACGTGCACACACACGTACACACACGTGCACACACACGTGCACACACACACGTGCACACACACACGTACACACACACGTGCACACACACGTACACACACACGTACACACACGTGCACACACACGTGTACACACACACGTGCACACACACGTACACACACGTGCACACACACACGTGCACACACACACGTGCACACACACACGTACACACACACGTGCACACACACGTACACACACACGTACACACACGTGCACACACACGTGTACACACACACGTGCACACACACGTACACACACGTGCACACACACGTGCACACACACACACGTGCACACACACGTACACACACGTGCACACACACGTGCACACACACGTGCACACACACACGTGCACACACACACGTACACACACACGTACACACACGTGCACACACACGTGCACACACACACGTACACACAGGTACACAGACACGTACACACACGTGCACACACACGCGCACACACGCCCAGACGAAGCCAAGGAGGCTCCATTTAATTTTAAACGCTTCTTGATTTTTGTTGTTGTACCCAAACTCTCTTGATAAAGAGTAGAAATAAAGAAACAAAGACTAAATGTGTAGTGACATCGCGAGCTGTCACTGTTGTAATGCTGGCCCTAGACAGGCACGGCGTGCGGTGTAACCACACCACGAGGTTGTGGCTGCAGTACCGGCGCCAGAGGCGCTCGGTCAGCGCTGATTGACAGCCCGTGGATTCCACCACGCTCGGTGTGCATTGCCAGCCCCTACCAAGGGTGGCACAGTCGGGTTTTTTACAATCGGGTTTAATTGTCTTTTTATATTAAACCCGATCATCTGAGATTGGGAGAAATCCGGTTTAATTGGTTCTAATTGCAGAACCGCACTTCTCAACGATGGGCTTCGTCCATTCCAAACTCAGGAACTCACTGGCGCCCACGATTGCGGAGGAGAAGCTCGTGTTCATCAAGACCAACCTGCCCGCCGCATTCTACGACTACCCCGTGCCCGACGTCCCCGAGTACGATAGCAGCACCGACGAGGAAGCAGCCTAAGCCTTGGATCAGAGTTTCGTATTCATTAAACCAGGTTTTAATTCCCCGATTGTATTAAAGAAAAAACCCGATGCCTGCCGCTGGAAAAATCGGGGTTTTTCCAGCCATTGGCCCTACAGGATCGGCTGCGAGAGCGCTGGCCGTAGGGAAGGGGTTACTGGGGCACGCTGGTTGACCCAAGAGGACACGTGACCGCTCAAGTCTACAGAGGGGGCCCCGAGTGGTCACGTGGACCGGGCCGGGATGCCGCTCGAGGGGCTCTGGGAGGTGGTCGTGGCCAGGGGCGATGCCCGCCACGCCGCAGAGGGTATCAGCCGTGTGTGTGTGTGCACGTGTATGTGTGTGTGTACGTGTGTGTGTGTGTACGTGTGTGTGTACGTGTGTACGTGTGTGTACGTGTGTGTGTGCACGTGTGCACGTGTGTGTGTACGTGTGCGTGTGTGTGCACGTGTGTGTGCACGTGTGTGTGTACGTGTGTGCACGTGTGCACACGTGTGTGCACGTGTGTGTGTGTACGTGTGTGTGTACGTGTGTGTGCACGTGTGTGTGTGTGTTGTTGTTCATCCTGAAGAAGCCTTCGTCTACGTCCTACTGAGGTCTCCAACACGTGGACCTGGACCCGAGCTGTGGTCCGGTCCGTAGTAGCAGTTACGTGGTAACTAGTGTTGTTAGTCTGGTGGTCACCACCCGGTTAACTACACCAGTTACTGTGTGATTAGTGTGGTTAGCCTGGTGATCACCACCCTGTTAACTACACCAGTTATGGTGTAATTAGTGTAGCTCGCCTGGTGGTCACCACCATAGGTTGTTATTCTGTTAAGGGGCAGTTACCCCTTTTGTGTTGGTGTTAATAAATGTGTTGCCTCCAAAGAGTACGTCTACGACTCAGTTGAACTCTCTACAAATGAACAAAACCACGTGTGGGGCAGTCACGGCGAACATCTGTTGGGTGAGTTGCGCCGAGTGGCAAAACGTGTCGGGTCACAGTCGTCATCATCGTCATCACTGTCGTCATCATCATCAACGTCATCATCATCAACGTCGTCATCATCATCATCACCGTCATCATCATCACCGTCATCATCATCAACGTCGTCATCATCATCACCGTCATCATCATCGTCATCATCGTCATCACCATCATCATCATCGTCGTCGTCATCATCATCACCTTCATCACAGTCATCATCATCACCACTATCATCATCACCACTATCATCACCAGTCTAACCGAGGAATTCAAGTGTGCAAAAACCAGGCTCCAGATGACACTGAATGAATCTCGAGACCCAGTGGTGAGCAACAACGCGCCGACCTTGGCAACTGGGCGCAAATGGAGGCCAAGAAAAGCAGTCCAGGAGGCAACAGCAGCCCTCAGACACGCTGACATTGTGGGTCATGTTCAGCAAGGGAGAGGAGGCCTTGGGCTAACTAGCCGTGCTGCTTGGAGTAAGGCCACTGCACCAGAGCGGCGGAAGTTGGTAGTGCAGGAAGTACGCCATCAGGAGGAGGCTGCAAGGTGGGCCAAGGCAGTCTCTCTTGCCAAACAGGGACAGTGGACTCGATGGGACAGTGTGGAGAAGAGGAAGATCGGCTGGATGGATCTGTGGGCCATGGAAGCGAGGCGGTTGAGCTTTTCCATCAGAGCAACATATGACGTCCTTCCAACACCAATTAATCTTCACCAATGGTATGGTGAAGATCCGGACTGTGCCCTCTGTTCCATGCCAGCCAACCTCAGGCACATTCTCACAGGGTGTAAAACAAGCCTCACCCAAGGACGCTACACTTGGCGTCACAACCAAGTCCTTAAAAACCTTGCGTCCGCCCTGGAGGACAAGCGAGCTGCCACCAACTCCCTACCACCCCCAGCAGCATCACACCCCTTACGGACGACCTTTGTCCGCGAAGGGGCTAAACCACCGAAGAGCGGCTCTACACCATCAGAGCGAGACCAGCTGTGCTTGGCCCGCGACTGAAAAATGCTAGCTGACATTGGCCGGCAACTTGTGTTTCCTCCGGAAATCGCAACCACCACCCTAAGACCTGACATGGTGCTCTGGTCCCGTTCGCTCAAGAAGGTCTTCATCATTGAGCTCACAGTACCCTGGGAGGACTCAGTAGATGAGGCTTATGAGCGAAAACATCTGCGCTATGCCGATCTAGCTGCCGAAGCACGGCATCATGGCTGGAACACAGAAGTCCGACCAGTGGAGGTGGGCTGCAGAGGTTTTGTGGCAACATCTACAACCAGACTGCTTAGAGACCTGGGAATTAAGGGCCAGAGCCAGCGTTCGGCAATCAGAGCTGTATCGGAGGTGGCAGAAGGCAGCAGTCAGTGGCTCTGGATGAAGAGGAAAGACCCCAGCTGGGCCCCAAAGTGAGAGGGCCAGGAGGTATGCAGTCAACAATGCTTGACTCAGGGATGAGGACGCCCCTGCCATGCATAGTCCCATGGGATGTTGGCTATCAACAACAAGGCAACTCCTATGACTAATTGGGAATGGGACGCAAGCGTAGGATTGATCACCCTGTCGCTGGCCGCCTTTGGGGAGGGTGTATAGTGTGAAAGGCCGAAACACCCGAGGAACCAAAGGTTCACTACTGACGATGCGCTCCCCAAATTTCACCAGGCTCATTGTTCATGAACTCTTGGAAGTGCTTGCACAAAGGATAGTAACATCTCATCCTGTGTTCTTGGAATCATCATCACCGTCATCATCATCACCGTCATCATCGTCGTCGTCATCATCATCACCGTCGTCCCATCGCCGTCGTCATCACCGTCGTCGTCACCACCGTCATCATCATCATCACAGTCGTCGTCATCATCACGACCACGCCAAGGCCCTCCCCGGCTGGGGTGACCGGTCATGCAAAATCGATCCATTCCAATCAGCTCGATTAATCGAACCCATAACATGCCAACGATGTCACCAAGCCCAATCGTTCACCTCCCGTCCAGCGGCACGCGTGCGGAGAGAGGTGAGGCTTCTGTCCCCCCCCCCCCACCAACTATATCCGTCTTATCCGATTAGGTTGACCAATTGAAGCGGTAATCTGTCGAGTGATGGGTTCATTCATCAGTTATCAGCTGAAACCGTCACCTCGAGGGTAATAGGATTACAGCCCAGCTCTTGAATAAACACCCCAACTCGATTCACTACGATGGAAATGACTCGGAGATGGACCGCTGAGTGCAAGCACGAGGGAGGGTGGGGGAGTGGCGGCGCAGTGGTTAGCGCACTGCACCATGGACCCGGGTTCGATTCCCAACATCGATGACGAGCGATGTCCGATCCTCGCCTCCTGATCCCTTTCGCCAGCCCGCTGTGACCAGCGTGGCGAAGTATGGTCAAACAAAACTCCACTACAGATCAGGCGTGGAGGGGGTTGGGGCGGGTGTGGTGTTCATCCTGCGGTGGATTGACAAAGGCCCGTGAATTATAATTGACATATTTTATACTGTAAGTAAATCTCAAAGCAAAACAGCCAAAATATATTAAACACAAAAACCCAAACAAGTCCGTCAATAACACAGCGGCCTTCAAAGAAACGACATTGTGCATGGCCGCTAACCCAGCAGCAGCAGCAGATGATTGTTTCAAATATATAAATGCGATTGTTTTACAGAGGAAGGGCTGCCAATTGAACGTAAAGCAACACAAAAGGCCGCATGACAACACAACAATCCCCTTACTCTCAAAGCGTCATCACCCAAAAAACGCCATCGCGTCACGGCTAGCCAATGTCGGCTTGGACCGTCAAATATCAAACTAAACTCTTTCTTATTTTACCGGGCGAGCTCTACAGCTCTTTCTTCAGAATCGACCTGACCAATGATAGTTCTACCGAAGTGGCTTATCGTGTGCAAATACTCTGAACGCGTGTTGATGATTCAAAACGTGGACGGAAAAATCGGAGGACCCGGAGAAAAATTCCCCAAAATATGCAGGGCACCAGGGTCGGGATTGACCCCACGCCCTCATCTCTACCAGGCGAGGTAGTCAACATCTCGCCACCGCGGCGCCCAAAGCAGAGGTCGCAAACGGGTTTTGATTCATCTTCTTGGTTCTTTCGGTAAAGTCACGTAGAATTGAAATAATAAAATAAGAACATTTCTATTATATTCTTTTATTATGTTTTATTTTTATTATTTTATTATTTCAATTCTACGTCACTTTACCGAAAGAACCAAGAAGATGAATCCCTGCAGTCACAAAAGCTTTAAATCGGGTTTTGATTCCTTACCCGTACCCGGCCGCACCAGGGTCGAAAACGGGTACCCGTACCCTACCCGATACCCGGCTACCCGTACCCGGCCAGGTATCAGGTAGGGTACTGGTACCCGATTGCGACCTCTGGGATGAAGCCATGTTGCAGGCGCGGGTGGGTTGATTCTAGGAACTTGAATCGTGAGAAGAGACAAGACGTTGGGAAATGAGTGACAAACGGTGACTCACCAGTGACTCACGGCCTACCCGTACCCGGCCGCACCAGGGTCGCAAACGGCTACCCATACACCTGTACCCGGCTGGGTACGGATAGCCGGGTATCGGGTAGGGTACGGGTATCGGGTACCCGGTTGCGACCTCTGGCCCAAAGCGAGTTTGTGCCCAAACGAGCGTCTGCAACGTCTCATTCCGTGGCAGTGCTGCAGCACGCGGCCCTTAGCACAGCGCCGGGCGACGCACCGGCCATAGCCCAACCGGAGAAAGAAAACACCGAAATGTATCCAAGTACTTCTAGATTTGAAGCTTTCGTGACTGCAAGGATTCAAACTCTTAGTTTTTTCGGTGAAGTCACGTGGGTGTAAAAAAAGAATGAAATTAAAATTAATAAGAAATTAATAAGAAATGTATAAGAATAAATAATAAGCCTCACTTGATACAGCAAATCTGGCTGTGACGGTCCCACCTGATGACGGAGACTGGTGTTGCCTCCGAAACGTCGTGATTTTTAAATCCTTTATATTAAGTTCGCTTGCTTGCTTACGACCGTGCAAATCTTTCGGTCGTTTTTTAACCCACTTCCCGTGATCCAATCGAGCTGACATTTTGCACACAGACTCGGTGTGCGTGACAATTAATGTTCGTGAAATTTTTTTTCCAAAATTTTACACTTTTTAGGACAAAAATATTATATTTAATTACCAATTGCTTAATGGTGCCATGCAATCATCTGACCCATAGGTGGCAGCCATCTCAAGCCAGAGGACGAGAGGACTCTAGCCGCCACGCATATAACGGATTTATAGTGAAAAACTTTGTTTTTACGGGTTATACTTATTATTATTTATTCTTATTAATTTTAATTTCATTTTTTTTTACCTCCGTGACTTTACCGAAAAAACTACGCGTATGCATCCAAGTACATCTCCAAAAACGATACTCGCCGAGCCGAGAGCCAAACGACTCCCAGGTTTTCGTGACGCTCGCGCGTGGAGCATCGCCCGGGGCCTCCTCCAGCGGTGTCCAAGCGGCCCGCGCCGCCGTCTCCCTCTGGCAGAGCGGGCCCTGTGGAGGCCGCCGTGTGGTGCTGCTGCTGGTGGATTCGGGCGACGCTGGTGGTGGTGGCGATGCTGGTGGTGGTGGTGGCGACGCTGGTGGTGGTGGTGGCGATGCTGGTGGTGGTGGTGGCGACGCTGGTGGTGGTGGTGGCGATGCTGGTGGTGGTGGTGGCGATGCTGGTGGTGGTGGTGGTGATGCTGGTGGTGGTGGCCTCCCTGCGCTACCGGGAGCCGCTGGAGAAGGCGGCGAGGCGAGCAAGGGTGCTGGAGGATACGCGGGGCCGCACCGATGGGTCAACTTCGGTAGACCGCCGCACCACCGGCTTGCGGCTCACACCGACACGATCACCGCCACTTCCACCACCGCTACCACCACCGCTACCACCACCAACACCATCACCTCCGTCGTTACCGGCGCCAGCACCACCATCACCTCTCGTAGCACTACAACCGAAACCATTAACTCTAGCACCACTAGCACCACCAGCACCACCACCATTCACACCGCCAGCGCCAGCGTCAATGCCCCCGCCGCCACAACCATTGATGCGCTGTAAGAGCAGCAGCTTTGATCGTTTGCTGGCGCCGGCGTTGGGCTCCCCGGGTCCCTCCGGGCCTCCCCGCCCCCCGAGTCCCCGATCGTCGCTGGGCCCTCGCAGGCGCTTGGCGCTGTGACTCGGAGGGGCCCCGGTTAGAGGCGGTGACCCCTGCGGTGACACCAATTTCCGGGGCTCGCCACTCTGGGCGGTACCGGAGGAGAGGGCCGACAAGTGGTGGGGCGGCGACGACGAGGAGTCCGCCACGGCGGTGTCCCAGTCGCTCCCGTGAGCGTCGCCGGGTCCTCGTCCGCTGGATTGTCGATGTCCTCGGGCCGCTTTGTGATCATCAGCAGCAGCAGCAGCGGCAGCAGCGGCAGCGGCAGCAGCAGCAGCAGCAGCGGGCTTGCCGTGCCCGTGCGCGCGAGGATTGTTGTGCGTGTCATCCTCGTCGCGTCTATCAGCATTATTGTGTCTATCAGCATCACCGTGTCCCTGTCCATCACGTAGATTAAGTCCAAGCCGGCCGACCTCGCCATGTCCATCGGCATCGTCGCGTCTGCCAGCCTCGGCGTGTCCCCGATCCTCGCCGCGTTCACGTCGATCGGTCTCGTGACTCGCGAGCGGCCCGCCGTGGCCCCGCGTCTCGTTCCGTCGATCGTCGCCGTCGCTCCGCGCGTCTCCGCCCTTCGCCGGCGAGCAGCCGAGCCGCGGCTTGCTGGGGAAGGCGAAGCGCGCCAACCTGCCGGGCACCTCCCCCGACGTCCCTGCGTCGCCCGCGGCACCGACGCGCCTGCCGGCGCCGCCGGCCCCTCTGGCCTTCGCCGCCCGCCCCCCGCGCCCGCCGTCCGTCCGCGTGCTCGGAGGCCTCGGCGTCTTGGGCCCGCGCTCGCGAGGGGCGGGTGCCGCCGCCGCGGGCGAGGCGGGGGCCGGCGAGTCGGGACCCTCCAAGGGGGTGGAGGTCAAGGGCTGGCCGCTGAAGTCGGAGGTCGGAGGGATGCCGTCCGGCGGGGAGGCGGACGGGTCCCCGGCGGTCGGCGCTCCGTCGTCCGCGGCGGTCGACGGAGAAGTCTCCTCTCCGTCGGCCGAGGGGACGTCCTCCCCGCCCTGCGAGCTCTTGAGGCTGGGGACACGGGAGCAGAGGAGATACAGACGCCGGTTGGGATTCGAGGCCAAGAAGGCGTGCGGCCTAGGCTGGCAGGCCCGTGGACAGAGGCCCGGTGGCGAGGCCGCCAGAGGCCCGGTGGCCGAGGCTGCTGGTTAGGTTTGACCGCAAGCAAGGCTCGCGCGCCGGTGCGCAAACCGCCAAACACTTTACAATGTTCACATTTGGGGTTTTACAATGTTATTTCCGATAAAAATTTGTAATCGGTCAATAAAATAAGAGTGAAGGGTTTTCGAGACGGCTACGGTGAGCTTGGCATCGCACAACAACAAAAACAACAACATCCTGGACGATAACGACGCCGGTCACTACATCGACGACAACGACGATGATTACGGCGATGACAAGGACGAGGACTGCAATGACGATGACGATGACTACATTGACGGCGGCAACCATCATCCATGACGATGATGATTACACTGACGACAACAATGATGATGACGACAAAGATGATGATGATGTTGATGACTACATTGACGACGGCAACCATCATCCATGACGATGATGATTACACTGACGACAACAATGATGAGGACGACAAAGATGATGATGATGTTGATGACTACATTGACGACGGCAACCATCATCCATGACGATGATGATTACACTGACGACAACAATGATGAGGACGACAAAGATGATGTTGATGACTACATTGACGACGGCAACCATGACGATGATGATGATTACATTGACAACAATGATGATGATGATGACGAAGATGATGATGATGACTACATTGACGACGACAACGATGACGACGACGATGACCGCAACGATGATGATGATGATGATTACATTGACGACAACAATGATGATGATGATGACGATGATGATCATTACACTGACGACAACAACCAGGACGATGATGATGATGATTACATTGACAACAACGATGATGATTACACTGATGACAACAACCATGACGATGATGATGATGATTACATTGACAACGATGATGATGATGACTACATTGACGACGACAACCATGACGATGATTACATTGACAACAATGATGATGATGACGAAGATGATGATGACGAAGATGATGATGACGAAGATGATGATGACCAAGATGATGATGTTGATGACTACATTGACAACGACGACGATGACCGCAACGACGCCGACCGGAGCGTCCGTACCGGTGCAGCCGCTCGGTCTCCTGCCGCAGCAGGTCGTGCAGGCCGAGTCGGGCGAGCAGCACGTCGCACTGCGCCTGGTACTGCTGCTCGGGCTCGTCGGGGAAGCAGGTGTGCAGCGCGTTCACGCCGGCGGCGCCCGTGAGAGCACCGCCCTGCATGGAGGTCTCCATCACCGACACCACCGTCACCGCGTCCTCCACCGTCACCACGCTGCGTAGCATGAGACGCGCGTGCGCTGCGCAAGATGGAGGTGCGGGGGGGGGGCCGGGGGGCCAGGTCATCGTAACCGTGATGATGATCGCGTCATGTCGTCGTGACGACGATGAGCGAGTCGTCGTAGCGATAATCACTACGTCGTCTTAACAGCAATGCAACGGGCACACGGGTTAAACGCATGGGACGGGTTAAACAGCGGGATTGGCTTTCGGGATCGGCACTGTTTAGACCACAGGACGAGTTGAAACTAAAAGTACTATTTTTATTTTAACGGGTAAGGCCCACTGAGCTCTACAACTCTTTCTTCAGAAGCGACCTGGCCACAAGTGATAGCTCAACGAAGTGGCTTATCACGTGGACATGTATAGCAGCAGCCAAATCCTCTCAATGCGTGACGTTGATTCTGGAGGAAAAAACCGGAGGACCCGGAGAAAAATCCGCATGACCACGGGGAGAGAGAAAGACGCAAACTCCAAAATATACAGCAGCAGCAGGCGTCAGGGTCAGGATCGAACCCCCGACCTCCTGCACACCAGGCGAGGTAGTAAACATCTCCACGGGGAGAGAGACGCAAACTCCAAAAATACAGCAGCAGCAGGCGTCAGGGTCAGGATCGAACCCACGACCTCCTGCACACCAGGCGAGGTAGTAAACATCTCCACGGGGAGAGAGACGCAAACTCCAAATATACAGCAGCAGCAGGCGTCAGGGTCAGGATCGAACCCACGACCTCCTGCACACCAGGCGAGGTAGTAAACATCTCCACGGGGAGAGAGACGCAAACTCCAAATATACAGCAGCAGCAGGCGTCAGGGTCGGGATCGAACCCACGACCTCCTGTATACCAGGCGAGGAAGTTAACATCTCCACAGGGAGAGAGACGCAAACTCCAAATATACAGCAGCAGGCGTCAGGGTCGGGATCGAACCCACGACCTCCTGCACACCAGGCGAGGTAGTTAACATCTCCTAGCCACCGTGATGATGATGGTGATGAGAGAGAAACACGCAAACTCCAAATATACAGCAGCAGGCGTCAGGGTCGGGATCGAACCCACGACCTCCTGCACACCAGGCGAGGTAGTTCACATCTCCTAGTCACCAGGGAGGAGGGGGGGGTCCGTGCCACGAGGCGGCTCACCCTCGGCGAGGCGCACGAGGCTCTCCAGGAGGCGGACGGTGGTGCGGGCGGCGCTGCGCGTGTCGCTGGCGCGCTGCAGCCGGTAGTAGGCCGCCAGCACGCGGTTCGCGTCGTCCGAGAGCTGCGGCTCGAGGGAGCGCGCCAGCCGGAAGTAGCAGCGCATGCGCTCCATGGGCCAGATGCCCTCTGCGTCGCACGGGGGGGCGCCTACGTTGTGGGGGGGGCGGGGCGGGGGGGGCATTACCACGATCGTCATTGCCGTCACCGCCGTCGTCATTGTCTCATGGGATTTGCATTAAAATAACCATCATTGCCAAGTTCATCGCCATTACCATCATCGTCGTAGTCGTCGTCATCTCATCCGTGATGACTGCCATTATTCCCATCACCACGTTCATCGCCGTTTAATTCGTCACCATCACCGTCATCGTGAACATCGTCATCATCATCATCGTTTCACAAGTATCAGTAACAGTGCCGTGGGGAGGGCAAGTCGCCCCTCACCCCCCCTCCCCCCCGTGCCACGCACAATAAACGAGGGGCGGCCCCGCAACGGGTTACTTCCGGGCCTCTGGAAATCTCCGGAAACCTCACGGCCTCCGATGACCCTCCCGGAACCTCCGGGCCTGCGGCAGAGGTCGCAATCGGGTACCCGATACCCGTACCCTACCCGATACCCGGCTACCTGTACCCAGCCGGGTACGGGTACGGGTACGGGTACCCATTTGTGACCCTGGTGCGGCCGGGTACGGGTAGGCCGTGAGTCACTGGTGAGTAACCGTTTGTCACTCATTTCCCAACGTCTTGTCTCTTCTCACAATTCAAGTTCCTAGAATCAACCCACCCGCGCCTGCAACATGACTTCATCCCAGAGGTCGCAATCGGGTACCCATACCCTACCCGATACTCGGCCGGGTACGGGTAGCCGGGTATCGGGTAGGGTACGGGTACCCATTTGCGACCCTGGTACGGCCGGGTACGGGTAAGGAATCAAAACCCGTTTGCGACCTCCTGGCCTGCGGGGAAACCTCCCGCGAACAGCGCCGGCACGTGCGCGCGCGTGCCGCCGACGCGCTGGCGGCAACGCTCCCGGGCCTACCGCGGTTCTGCAGGATGAAGGAGGAGACGATGCGGTCCCAGTCCTCGTTGCGCGCGTCCAGCAGCACGAGCACGAGGTCGAAGCGGCTGAGCAGCGGGCTGGCCAGCGCCACGCTCGCGCTCAGCGGCTCGCCCGCCTCCACGCGCCCCTTGGGGTTGGTCGCCGCCAGCACCGTGGTCCGCGTGCTCAGCTTGCACACCAGCCTGCCACGGGCCGGGGGGGGCGGGGGGGGGGGGCGGGCGCCATCGTCGCGTTATTATCGACGTCGTCGTCGTTCGCAACGTCGTCATCGACGTCGTCGTCGCGATCGGCCACGGTCCACGGTCCACGGTCCATCCACTGTGTTCCACGTGCCACATGTACGCAGCGCGTGTCCCGTGTCATCGTATCTCGTACATGTCTCCCATGTCCCCGTGTCTCCCATATCCCCGTGTCTTACATGTTTCCCGTATCCCCCATATCTCTGTGTTCCGTGTCTCCCGTATCCCCGTGTCTCCCATATCCCGCGTCTCCCGTATCTCCCATATCCCCCGTGTCTAACAATCATATTTATGTGTGTTCCGTGTCTTGCTCAGCCGCATGTCTCCCGTACCCCCGCATCTCCCGTACCTCCCATCTCTCCCATATCTCCGTGTCTCTCGTACCTCCCATATCCCCGTGTCTACCATATCTACGTGTGTTCCATGTCTCTCGTATCCCCGTATCTCCCGTACCTCCCATCTCTCCCATATCCCCGTGTCTCTCGTACCTCCCATATCCCCGTGTCTTCCATATCTACGTGTGTTCCATGTCTCTCGTATCCCCGTATCTCTCGTACCTCCCATATCCCCGTGTCTTCCATATCTACGTGTGTTCCCTGTCTCGCGTATCCCCGTGTCTCCTGTACACATCCCCGTGTGTCCCCTGCCCGCGCATCCCCGCGCGTCTGTGGAGATCTCCGCGCGTGTCCCCGCGTGTGTCCTCTGACCCGGCCTTGGCGACGCTGATGCTCTGCTGCTCCATGGCCTCGTGCACGCTGGCCCGGTCGTGCTCGCGGATGCTGCTGAACTCGTCGATGCAGCAGAGGCCCCCGTCGGCCAGCACCAGCGCACCGGCCTCGAGGCCCCAGTCGCCGCCGTCGCGCACGGCCGCCACCGTCAAGCCTGGGCCCGCCCACAACCGCCAGTGACAAAGATCCCCCGCATAGCCTCACAAGACTGTCGGGGCAAGTGCTGTTAGCGAGCAGCACGTAAGAAACTAAACTGTTTTTTGTATTTTACCAGGTAAGGCCCACTGAGCTATGTAGCTATTTGTCAGAAGCGAGCTGGCCACAAATGATAGCTGAACAAAGTGACCCATCACCATGTGTACATTTATAGCAGCCAAATACTCTAAACACGTGACGTTGATTCTAAATGTGGAGGGAAAAGACCGGAGGACCCAGAGTTAACATCTACTGGCCACCGTGATGATGATGATGATCATGAGAGAGAGAGAGACACGCAAACTCCAAATACAGTCAGGCGTCAGGGTCGGGATCGAAGCCCCGACCTCTTGTAGACCAGGCGAGAAAGTTAACATCTGCTAGCCACCGTGATGATGATGATGAGAGAGAGAGACACGCAAACTCCAAATACACAGCAGCAGGGTCAGGATCGGGAGTTGACCCCCGCTCTGCGACAAACGCCAGTGGCTGGCATTGGCCGAGCAGACGGCCAGGGTCAGGGGTCATCCCTTTGCTGACGACCGCGAGCGGTGGGGAGCGGTGGCCGCACCGGCGCTGGTGGAGCCGATGCCGGTGGTGAGCACGGAGCGTGGCGTGATCTTGGCCGCGTACTTCAGCAGCTGCGACTTGCCGGTGCCGGGGTCTCCCACGAGCAGCAGGTGGGGCTCACCTGCGGCGGGGCGAGAATGTCGTCAGATAAGATGCCTAATCTAAAACTTCAACCGGGAAGATGGATACAGGTTGAGCAATCATTGGAAGGATGTTATTAACCAGGTAAAACCAGAACTACTCCTGGCCTGCCTTCATATCCACATCTCCAGTTTCCTAACCCTCCCCCTCCCAGCCCCGCCCACTTCCCCTCCCAGCCCCACCCACCTCCCAGCCCAGCCCCCACTTCCCCTCCCAGCCCACTTCCCCTCCCAGCCCCGCCCACCTCCCAGCCCAGCCCCCACTTCCCCTCCCAGCCCACTTCCCCTCCCAGCCCCGCCCACCTCCCAGCCCAGCCCCCACTTCCCCTTCCACCCCCGCCCACCTCCCAGCCCAGCCCCCACTTCCCCTCCCAGCCCACTTCCCCTCCCAGCCCCGCCCACCTCCCAGCCCAGCCCTCACTTCCCCTCCCCGGCATTTTTTGCCATGCTTGAGTCTTACTCGTTGCCTCCACTTCCCCTACCCCACACCCCACCCTCCCTATCTCTCCTCCCTGGCTCCTCCCCCCCCCCGTCTCTTGCCTATTTGGCCTCTTGTTGCAGCAGCCATTTTGCCCACTTCAGCAGCTGTTTCTTGCTGTGGTTGTCCTCCCACCTGATGATGATTGCTTGTGTTGCGCCCGAAACGTCGTGATTTGATTTATTTTATACCTACGTGACTTTACCGAAAGAACCAAAGAGTAAGATAAGATAACACTAGGGCCAAGCGTGTGATTGCACGCTGAAATGCTAAATAGACGAGAAACGTTCTGTACAAAGTAATGTACAATGTAATGTCCAATGTATTAAAAATATACAATGTAATCATGTACAATGTAAATATACAATGTAATGGACAATGTCATAGAAATGTACAATGTACACTACGGTGCAGCCCCGGAGCGGGATGCTGTGTGGCTCTTTAAGGGACGTCCTTTATTAAGGAGCGGCCGCCACCACCACCACCACCACCACCGCCACCACCACCACCACCACCTCCTCCACCACCACCACCGCCACCACCGCCGCCACAACCACCACCGTCTCTCATTCACCACGCAGAGCGTAGCGCCTCTTGAAACATTGAGGATTTGTTTTCGCGACATCGACAAGAATTGTCTCTTCTTGTTATTCCGGTTGCCGAGCCCCCTGGTCTAAACGGAAGGACCCGGGAGTCGTGTTTAGGCGTCCTCACCTCTCACGCGGGTGCCCGACGGATCTACGCGTGCGACCCCGCCGGCAAGCACCAGGGCGACCGCCAGCTTCACCACGTACATGCCGAACACCTGCGGGCACAGGCTGGCCAGGATCACATTTCGGCCTGCGTACGCACACGCACGCGCGCACACACACACGCAGGTAAATTAAGGGTATACCATCCCGATGATTCCTGACAGGGATTACATCATCCCGGCTGAAATTTCGCAAATCCTCCTGGGACACGGTGACATCATTGTTCATACCGCTGATGATAATGATGATAATTGATCATGATGATGATGGATCAATGATGACGAAAAACAATGAAGATGATTGTGCCGACGACTCAATAATGATGATGACTCAATGATGATGACGGTGATGGCTCAATAATGATGATGATGACGATGATGACGATGATGATGATGATGACGATTCAATGATGATGACTCAATAATGATGATGATGACTATGACTCTATGATGATGACGATGATGATGATGACGATGATGGTGACGACAATGACACAATGATGATGATGACTATGACTCTATGATGATGACTCAATAATGATGATGACACAAAGATGATGACGGTGATGGCTCAATAATGATGATGATGACGATGATGATGACGATGATGACTCAATCATGACAACGCTCATCACGATGACGCCGCCGCCGGCCACAGCGGACCCTCAGGGCGCCTCTCGGCCCCGCGACTCCCCCACCTGCCAGCGGGTTGTGGGCGAACCCCTCCCAGAACTCCTGCACCGCGCGGCGCTCCTCCTCGCCCAGCTCCACCCCGAGCCCCGCGCCATCGTTTGCCACCTCCAGATGGTTCGCTCGGAGCACCAGCTCCAGGTCGCAGCGAGAGCCGGGGACCAGCGGGCGCCAGCGCTGGGTCACCACGCCGCACACCGTGACGTCGTCTCCTGCGTCGCGCACAGACAGAGATCCCCCCCCCACCCGTGCAGCCTTCACGAGACTTTTGGGGCCTCGGTGCTGTTCGCGAGCGGCGTCTACCAAGGTGATATTGGTTGACCGAGATGGCTGGGTCACGCGCACTGCACGCACGCACGCACACACGCACGCACACACACGCACACACACACGCACGCACACACGCACACACACACGCACACACACACGCACACACACACACGCACACACACACAACAACAACAACAACAACCGCCATTCGCCACTAAGTGGCGGTGACGTCACCACGATGCTTGTGCCAGGCCAAGTGCACCTTGAGGCCACGTGAAGTGTCGAAAGCCCGCTGGCAGGAGGTCACGGGGCAGACCCAGGTGCCACGGGTCGACTGACCGAGATGACCGAGATGACTGGCTGATGCACCACCTGTGCCCCCTACTGTGCCAACTTGCTGTGCTTTAGCCACCCGGCGCTCCGCTCGTTGTTGTGAGCGTCGCTCCTCCGCCCTCCGTTGTTGTTGGAGGGCGACTGCCTCCAACTGCCCAGTAGCGTCCTTCACGAGCCTCCTCCACTGAGGCCGATCTTGACACCGCTGGTACCAGTCATCGGCAAGTCCACTCAGCTCCACGTCCTCCTGTACCACATCACTCCATCTCTTCTCCAGCCCGTGCCGCGCCCGTCTAGCCCCCTCGATCCGGCCGAACAAAAGCTGTTTAGGCATGCGGTGGCTGGGCATGCGGGCTACATGACCCAGCCAACGCAGCCTTGCCTGCCGGAGGAGCTCACTGATGGGACTTTGCCCAGATCTTTCAAGGATTTGTGAGCTCCTCACACAATCCAGCCTGGTTAAACCCAGGATGGATCGTAGGCAGGCCAGCCTAAATGTTTCCAACCGGCGAAGATGCTCCACCAGGGGGGTCCACGTCTCGCAAGCGTAGAGAAGGGAGGGAATGACCGTGGCCGAGAAGACCTGAAGCTTCGTGCGGAGCGACAGACCAGGTAGCTTCCACACAGCGTTACGCAACCGATGAAAAGATATTGCCGCTCGACTGATTCGGAGTGAGACCTCTGCTGATAGACTGGAGCCGGTCATAAGCACACTGCCCAGGTATGGGAAACTCTCCACTCTCTTCACAACTGCCCCATCACCAATTGGGAGTTGTGGGGGTGGAGTGTCCGATGGTACAAAATACCCAGGCAGGTGCTTAGTTTTGGTGGGGCTGATGGTAAGGCCCCACCTCTTGGTGGCACGCTCCAGTCTCAGCAGCAGCGTCTCCAACTCCTCTTCTGAATGAGCAGCTATTACCAAATCATCGGCATACATAACGTGGTTGACCAATAGGGAGCCATCCCTTGATCGCACCCGGGCGTCGATCAGCCTCCCATTACATCTGTACCAAATGGAAATTCCTCCGGTACAGCTATTGAAGGCTTCACGAACTACGCGGTCAAAATAGATGTTAAATAATGTGGGAGCCAGAGGACATCCCTGTCGCACCCCAAGGTGTACAGGGAAAGGCTCCGACTCCCAGCCACGTAGTTTTACCCGGGCCCGCTCACCATCATGAAGGTCCTTAATGATCGTGAGCAGAGGGTCAGGGACTCCGAAAGCACGAAGAACAACCCAGAGCCCAGTCCTACTGATGGTATCATAGGCCTTGACCAGGTCAATAAAGCAGAGATGTAGGTCTTTTTGGAATTCCCTACACCTCTGCTGTAGCAGACGGACAGAAAATATGGCATCTGTGCAGGACCGCCCTTTCCTGAAACCGCATTGGGGCTCCGCAAGCCTCTCCTCAGCGTGCCTAGCAAGGCGATGTTGAATAATCCTTGCCAGGACCTTACCCGGCACACTGAGGAGTGAGATGCCCCTGTAGTTGTTACAGTCGGTACGGTCCCCCTTCTTAAAGAGGGGAACCACCAGGGCATCCTTCCAGTCCTGCGGAACCCGTCCAGTGGTCCAGACTGTTGTTATGATGTCATATAGGGCAGTCTGTGCACAAACGCCACCCTCCCTCAGCATTTCGCTTGGGAGATCATCTCTGCCCGATGCCTTCCCTGGTCTCAGACTCCGGATCGCCCTCAGTACTTCCTCAACAGCTGGCACCTCAGCCAGCCACTCACAGGGGGTGACCTCTTCCAATATTTGAGGCACCGCAGCCTCAGCAGGGTTATCACCACTTTGTGCCATGATGTTTTCCTGGCTGAGAGAATTTCCCTCCCCCAGGACTTCACAGAAATGCTCAGCAAATCTGCAAACCTGTTCCTGGGGGTCGGAGATTGGATCACCGTTTTTTCCTCTAATGATGGTAATAGGTGTGGCGCTGCAGGTTACACACACACACACACACGCACACACACGCACACAACACACACACGCACACACGCACGCACGCACACGCACGTACGCACGCACACACACGCACACACACACACACACGCACACACACACACACACGCCCTCACGCCATCTGGGACAGACAGGAGCTAGACGGAGCGTTCCACCACAGGACCCTGAGAGATGGCGACGATTCGGGGATGCATTCTTCCAGCACTCGATGGGTTAGGGCCGACGGCGATGAATGAATGAATGAACTATTTAACGAACGAGTGAATGAGCTGCAACGCTCTACCCTACCGGATTTACACGTGTCCACCAAATCATCCTCCAGCACCACCACCATGGAGCGGGGGATGGTGCCCATGGCCAGCTTCTGGACCTGCGCGTCGCACGGCGAGACACATTCACCCCGTGACACCCCGCACACACCGCTCGCTCGCCCGCCCGCCCGTCCACCCACTGCCGGACGATGGCCTCCCCCACGCCGTGCGGGTCGTGGGGGTTGGTTTCTCCGTTCTTGAACCACGGCGGTCGGCACGCGTTGGAGAAGGCGGGGAACGTGCAGGGCACAGTGCAAAGTGGTTTTCCGGAACTCTGCTGAGCGCATGTCAGGCGGTCCCACGGTCGCCTATGACAACCGAAAACTCCGCCGTGTCGTGCGGCTCTCACCACCCAGCCACACGGCCCACGGAGGGACCGTCCTCCCGGCGTGGAGCGCGGCGGCGGCAAAGCGTGGACACGAAACACAAACCTGCTCCTGTATCTTGATCTCCTGGTAGTCGCGGCAGACGCCCGGCTGGCCCCCTTCTCCGCCGACGCCGGTGAACCTGGTGGAGCGGCAGGCGGGCGCGCCGGGGCAGGCGGCGGGGGCCGACAGGCCGTGGAAGGTCTCCAGCTCGGCGCGCACCGGGAATCGGCGTCCGCAAGCGAGGCACGCGAAGGTCCGCTCGTGCTCCAGCAGCCGCGTGGAGCCGGTGCGGATCACGGTGCCCGAGACGCGCAGCAGGCGGCCCGCGTCCGACGCCAGCGGCAGGCGCTCGCGGCTCAGCTCGGGGCACTGCGGGAGACCTGCGGGGAGAAGGGGCGAGGCGGCGGCGATTGTTTTTATTCTGGCAGGTTGTCCGCACCGGAGATTGCCGGTTCGATTCTATCTCCCCGTGCGCGGTGGTGGAAAGAATGCGCGAGTTCTTTAGGTCACCCCCACCCACCCCCCAATCCCCCTGTTTACCACCACGACCACCAAAGACAAAGATCCCCCATATAGCCTTAACAGACTGTAGGGTAAGTGCTGTTAGCGAGCACCTAAGAAGGACGGCACGGCACACGAGAGGGTGGGTGGCAAGCACCACACCCGACCGCCTTTGTCTCTCTAGTGGCAATGTTTACACACCGCACTGGGTACTCATTTGAGGCTGAGCCAACCTAGGGGAGGCCCAGGACCGGTTTAGATAATCGTCACCGGTATTGGCCGTGAACGGGAATCGAACTCGGGTGCCCGGGTTCACAGCGCAGCGCGCTAACCGCTACACCGCTACACCACCGCCATCGCCACCACCTCCACCGGGACCGCCACGGCGTACCGGTGAACCTGGCGTGCACGTTGGGCTTGACGGAGAGCGCGGCGTCACCGTCGGCGACCCCCGCCCGGCGCGCCAGCAGCGCCGCCTGCGCGCGCGCCAGCGCCTCGTCGCACGCGGGCAGCAGCAGCGAGGGCAGCGCCAGCACGCTCTCGCCCAGCGCCATGTCGCTCTCCAGCAGCGCCATGACGTCGAGCAGCACGGGGTAGTGGTGCGCGGCGCCGGCGGGAGCGCCCAGCACGCGCAGAAGGTCAGCGCCGTGGTGCTCCAGCGCGTAGGCCTCCATCGCCCGGCCCAGCTGCTCCAGCCTGCTCGGCCTCCATGGCCCCAGCGGAGGAGGAGAGGAAGTCCCTGCGGGGGGCATGGTAGGTTGGTGTAGATGAGTGAGCTTCTGGGAGGGTTCAAAGCGGGAAGCAATGTCAACTAAAACTAATACCGACACTCGAAATGTATTGCTGTAGAAGGATTGCCCGCATCGAAGCTGGTCCTCAAAGAGTGAGCAACGTAAAGGTAAGAAAAAAGGTGGCACGTAGAAGACAACCTGATGATGCAGGCAGTGGTGAGAAGGAAACTGGCACTGTTTGGACATATATATAGCAGGGACAACAGGAAAATGAAAAAAATTGTTGTTTTGATTTAAAGCTTTCGTGACTGTAGGTGATTCATATTCTTGGTTCTTTCGGTAAAGTCACATAGAAGGGAAATAATAAAATAATTATAAAAAATATTAAACAATACAATTCTCACGACGTTTCGACTGCAACACAAGCAATCATCATCAGGTGTGAAAAACACAGCAAGAAAAAAACGCCACTTTTTTCAAAATTTCTTGCTGTTTTTTCACACCTGATGATGATTGCTTGTGTTGCAGTCGAAACGTCGTGAGAATTGTATTGTTTTATATTTTTTTTATTTTATTGTTTCCCTTCTACGTGGTGACTTTACCGAAATGTGTTGGGAAAAATGGAAGGAACCGGACAGAGAGGAAGACCTCACAGACGACATGAGATATTGGTGCCAGAAGATGTGGCCCCTACTTGATCATATTACCACAAGACAGAGGAAAGTGAAAACAAATGACAGAATGTACAGTGGACGCCTACGGGATATCCACCCACATATCACGATGATGATCAAGTAAACTATTCTTTGGTTCTTTCGGTAAAGTCACGTATAAAGATAAAATAATAAATTAAATAATAGCATACGACGTTTCGATTGCAACACAAGCAATCATCATCAGGTATAATTAAATAGCGACACAAAATCTAACCAGAAAACCACAAACAGACATATAAGCAGACAGATATCACCAAGATACACAGAGAGAGCAACACAGGTTTATTATTTTATCTTTATACGGGACTTTACCGAAAGAACCAAAGAATAATCCCTGCAGTCACGAAAGCTCCAAAATTAAAACTAAACTATTTTTATTTAACCAGGTAAGGCCCACTTTTTTCAAAAGCGAACTGGTCACAAACGAAATGGATTATCACGTGGAAATGTATAGCAGCCAGACAGTCCTAAGGCATGTTGTTGATTCTAAATGTGGAGGGAAAAACTGGAAGACCCGGGGAAAAATCCACGCGATCACGGGGAGAGAGAGAGACACGCAAACTCCAAATATACAGCAGCAGGCGTCAAGGTCGGGATCAAAACCACGACCTCCTGTATACCAGGCGAGGAAGTTAACATCTCATAGCCACCGTGATGATGAGAGACACGCAAACTCCAAATATACAGCAGGCGTCAGGGTCGGGATCAAAACCACGACCTCCTGTATACCACGCGAGGTAGTTAACATCTCATAGCCACCGTGATGATGAGAGAGAGACACGAAAACTCCAAATATACAGCAGGCGTCAGGGTCGGGATCAAAACCACGACCTCCTGTATACCAGGCGAGGAAGTTAACATCTCATAGCCACCGTGATGATGAGAGAGAGACACGAAAACTCCAAATATACAGCAGGCGTCAGGGTCGGGATCAAAACCACGACCTCCTGTACACCAGGCGAGGTGAAGAATCATTAAACATCCCCCATGTCCGACATGACATGAATTATAATAATAATTATATTATGGTAATAAGTAACAGATGATTTTTGGGAAGGAAAAAAAAATGTAGCCTATTGAGATCAAGTTATGTGGTGGCGATGTCATACCTGTCAACCCCTTATCAGTGCCTACCTTATTGCAGACCAACTCAGATCTTATTGGTCACTCTGTGCCCTTGGAAATTTCAACGTTCATCCTACCAAGTCCCATCACAAGCGAGAAACAGACAAAATTAATGTTTTACTACTATTTCCCTGTACAATAATACAGTTCGGGCAAGCCGTATGGGTTATGACAGATTTGTGATGCTGTGTCGAAAGGAGAAGCGTATAACAGTCGACGTTTCGGGCAATGCACCTTCTTCACAGTACACAGATCATTGACAGTACAGTACTAAATTTCGATTTAAAGCTTTCGTGACTGCAGGGATTCATATTCTTGGTTCTTTCAGTAAAGTCACGTAGAAGGGAAATAATAAAATAATACAAATATAAAACAATTAAATTCTCACGACGTTTCGACTGCAACACAAGCAATCATCATCAGGTGTGAAATCCACAGCAAGAAAATGTGAAAAATGTACAGTACTAACAATAGTGTATTCATCACGGGAAATCGTTTTCTATACACAGCACAGAAAACACTGAACTCTGACCCTCAAGTACTCACTATAGGGTCTAGAGTACAGATTACATACTCTTCTTTGATATTAAAGTATGGTTAAGTATGGTGAGCTGTAGACTAGTCACTACAGTATGCAATAATGTGACTACAGTGCTACACTGTTTACAGGACTGTTCTCACGATAGAATACAACAAACAATACTGCATACATTGACTCTGGTTATTTGGGTAAAGTCACGTAGATAGAAAAAATAATAACAATAAAATAATAATAATAAAGTGAATAAAAATAATGAAAATAAAGTTAATAAAAATATCACGACGTTTCGATCGCAACACAAGCAGTCATCATCAGGAACTGGGAGGTTAGTCTCTGAGGGCAAGCTGCTTATACTGGTAGGAACGAAGTGGACCAGACACCAATAGATTATATCGTCCGTCCGTTTGTCCGTCCGTCCGTCAGTGTAGCAACATCGCCCCCTACTGCAAACACTTGGCATGACCCTACAAAAACCTTTAGACTCAGTGATGCTATCCTGGCTAAACAAGTGTAACATTCCCTTATAATTCCCTGAGATAGCTTTTAATTAAAACATTTAAATTCATTAGGCTTTCCTGGCTAAACACGTGTAACATTCCCTTATAATTCCCTGAGATAGCTTTTAATTAAAACTTTGAAATTAAATAAAAAAACTCACAGCGCCCTAAGGCCTACAGCTAGGCCTAAAGCCTAGAACTAGGCCTGAAACTCTCCCTTCGTATCGTACCCCTGCGTGTGAAAGAAAGTTAATGTTTAACAATGTTACATTCCCTCATGTTTTTAATTAGAAACATTTAAATTTAAAGCTTTTACATAAATCATTAAACATTTAAAATTAAAAATTAACTCACAGCGGCGTAAAGCCTACAGCTAGGCCTAAAGCCTAGAACTAGGCCTGAAACTATCTCTTCGTATCGTACCCCCGCGTGTGTGAAAGGGAGTTAATGTTTAACAATGTTACATTCCCTCATGTTTTAAAATAGAAACATTTACATTGAAAGCTTTTACATTCATTATTAAAACATTTAAATAAAAAATTAGGTCACAGCGCCCTAAAGCCTACAGCTAGGCCTAAAGCCTAGAACTAGGCCTCAATCTCTCCCTTCGTATCGTCCGATTCGGTGTAGCAATATCGCCCCCTACTGCAAACACTTGGCAGGACCCTACAAAAACCTTTCGACTCAGTGGCCCTTTCCTGACTAAACAAGTGTAATAATACATTATGTTTATATTCTTTGGTTATTCGTTCCTACCAGCCCACCCTGCAGGGTCCTGTTATAAGGGCACCACGGGGTGACCAGCCCCACCCCTCCCTCCCCACCATCCCCTCCCCACCCAGCCCCACCCTCCCCACCCAGCCCCTCCCCACCCAGCCCCTCCCTGCACGACGGACGGACACAATAATCCCCTGTGGGCTGGTGTAACCAGGAGGTTCCTACCAGTATAAACTGACTACAGTCTACACTACTCGCTACAGTTCACAACATGACTCACTTGGAGTGATTACTACAGTCTAGACTTCACGTACTGTAGAGTACAGTGTTCACTTACAGTCTATGCACTGTATAGTACAGTGTTCACTTACAGTGTAGAGTACAGTAGAGTACAGTGTTCACTTACAGTGTAGAGTACAGTAGAGTACAGTGTTCACTTGCAGTGTAAAGTACAGTGTTGACTTACAGTCTAGGTCACTGTAGAGTACAGTATTCGCTTACAGTCTAGAGTACAGTAGAGTACGGTAGAGTAGTGTTCACTTACAGTCTAGAGCGCTGTAGAGTACAGGTTTCACTTACAGTGTAGAGTGCTGTAGAGTAGTGTTCACTTACAGTGTAGAGTGCTGTACTGTACAGTGTTCACTTACAGTGTAGAGTGATGTAGAGTACAGTGTTTACTTGCGGTCTAAGTACTGTATAGTACAGTGTAGAGCACGTGTTGTACTGTACAGCGTTCACTTAGTGTAGAGCACGTGCTGTACTGTACAGTGTTCACTTACAGTGTAGAGCACGTGCTGTAGAGTACAGTGTTCACTTACAGTGTAGAGCACGTGTTGTACTGTACAGTGTTCACTTACAGTGTAGAGCACGTGTTGCGCTGTACAGTGTTCACTTACAGTGTAGAGCACGTGTTGTACTGTAGTGTTCACTTACAGTGTAGAGCACGTGTTGTACTGTACAGTGTTCACTTACAGTGTAGAGCACGTGTTGTACTGTGCAGTGTTCACTTACAGTGTAGAGCACGTGTTGTACTGTACAGTGTTCACTTACAGTGTAGAGCACGTGTTGTACTGTAGTGTTCACTTACAGTGTAGAGCACGTGTTGTACTGTACAGTGTTCACTTACAGTGTAGAGCACGTGTTGTACTGTAGTGTTCACTTACAGTGTAGAGCACGTGTTGTACTGTACAGTGTTCACTTACAGTGTAGAGCACGTGTTGTACTGTAGTGTTCACTTACAGTGTAGAACACGTGTTGTACTGTACAGTGTTCACTTACAGTGTAGAGCACGTGTTGTGCTGTACAGTGTTCACTTACAGTGTAGAGCACGTGTTGTACTGTACAGTGTTCACTTACAGTGTAGAGCACGTGCTGTACAGTGTTCACTTGCAGTGTAGAGCACGTGCTGTACTGTACAGTGTTCGCTTACAGTGTAGAGCACGTGTTGTACTGTGCAGTGTTCACTTACAGTGTAAAGCACGTGCTGTACAGTGTTCACTTACAGTGTAGAGCATGTGCTGTACTGTACAGTGTTCGCTTACAGTGTAGAGCACGTGTTGTACTGTACAGTGTTCACTTACAGTGTAGAGCACGTGCTGTACAGTGTTCACTTACAGTGTAGAGCACGTGTTGTACTGTACAGTGTTCGCTTACAGTGTATAGCACGTGTTGTACTGTACAGTGTTCACTTACAGTGTAGAGCACGTGCTGTACAGTGTTCACTTACAGTGTAGAGCACGTGTTGTACTGTACAGTGTTGACTTACAATGTAGAGCACGTGCTGTACAGTGTTCACTTACAGTGTATAGCACGTGTTGTACTGTACAGTGTTGACTTACAATGTAGAGCACGTGCTGTACAGTGTTCACTTACAGTGTAGAGCACGTGTTGTACTGTACAGTGTTGACTTGCAATGTAGAGCACGTGCTGTACAGTGTTCACTTACAGTGTAGAGCACGTGTTGTACTGTACAGTGTTCACTTACAGTGTAGAGCACGTGTTGTGCTGTACAGTGTTCACTTACAGTGTAGAGCACGTGTTGTACTGTACAGTGTTCGCTTACAGTGTGGAGCACGTGCTGTACTGTACAGTGTTCACTTACAGTGTAGAGTAAGTGCTGTACAGTGTTCACTTACAGTGTAGAGCACGTGTTGTACTGTACAGTGTTCGCTTACAGTGTGGAGCACGTGCTGTACTGTACAGTGTTCACTTACAGTGTAGAGCACGTGCTGTACAGTGTTCACTTACAGTTTAGAGCACTGCTGTACAGTGTTCACTTACAGTGTAGAGCACGTGCTGTACAGTGTTCGCTTACAGTGTAGAGCACGTGCTGTAGTGTTCGCTTACAGTGTAGAGCACTGTTGTACTGTACAGTGTTCACTTACAGTGTAGAGCACGTGTTGTGCTGTACAGTGTTCACTTACAGTGTAGAGCACGTGTTGTGCTGTACAGTGTTCACTTACAGTGTGGAGCACGTGCTGTACTGTACAGTGTTCACTTACAGTGTAGAGTAAGTGCTATACAGTGTTCACTTACAGTGTAGAGCACGTGCTGTACAGTGTTCACTTACAGTGTAGAGCACGTGCTGTACAGTGTTCACTTCCAGTGTAGAGCACGTGCTGTACAGTGTTCGCTTACAGTGTAGATCACGTGCTGTACAGTGTTCGCTTACAGTGTAGAGCACGTGCTGTACAGTGTTCACTTACAGTGTAGAGCACGTGATGTACTGTACAGTGTTCACTTACAGTGTAGAGCACGTGCTGTACAGTGTTCACTTACAGTGTAGAGCACGTGCTGTACAGTGTTCACTTACAGTGTAGAGCACGTGCTGTGCAGTGTTCACTTACAGTGTAGAGCACGTGCTGTACAGTGTTCACTTACAGTGTAGAGCACGTGCTGTACAGTGTTCACTTACAGTGTAGAGCACGTGCTGTAGTGTTCGCTTACAGTGTAGAGCACGTGCTGTACAGTGTTCGCTTACAGTGTAGAGCACGTGCTGTACAGTGTTCACTTACAGTGTAGAGCACGTGATGTACTGTACAGTGTTCACTTACAGTGTAGAGTGCGTGCTGTACAGTGTTCACTTACAGTGTAGAGCGCGTGCTGTACAGTGTTCACTTACAGTGTAGAGCTCGTGCTGTGCAGTGTTCACTTACAGTGTAGAGCACGTGCTGTACAGTGTTCACTTACAGTGTAGAGCACGTGCTGTGCTGTACAGTGTTCACTTACAGTGTAGAGCACGTGCTGTACTGTACAGTGTTCACTTACAGTGTAGAGCACGTGCTGTACTGTGTTCACTTACAGTGTAGAGCACGTGCTGTACAGTGTTCACTTACAGTGTAGAGCACGTGCTGTACAGTGTTCACTTACAGTGTAGAGCACGTGTTGTGCTGTACAGTGTTCACTTACAGTGTAGAGCACGTGCTGTACAGTGTTCACTTACAGTGTAGAGCACGTGCTGTGCAGTGTTCACTTACAGTGTAGAGCACGTGTTGTACTGTACAGTGTTCACTTACAGTGTAGAGCACGTGTTGTACTGTACAGTGTTCACTTACAGTGTAGAGCACGTGTTGTGCTGTACAGTGTTCACTTACAGTGTAGAGCACGTGTTGTAGAGTACAGTTTTCACTTACGGTCTACGTACTGTACAGTACAGTGTTCACTTACAGTGTAGAGCACGTGTTGTACTGTGCAGTGTTCACTTACAGTGTAGAGCACGTGCTGTACAGTGTTCACTTACAGTGTAGAGCACGTGTTGTACTGTACAGTGTTCACTTACAGTGTAGAGCACGTGCTGTACAGTGTTCACTTACAGTGTAGATCACGTGTTGTACTGTACAGTGTTCACTTACAGTGTAGAGCACGTGCTGTACAGTGTTCACTTACAGTGTAGAGCACGTGCTGTGCAGTGTTCACTTACAGTGTAGAGCACGTGCTGTGCAGTGTTCACTTACAGTGTAGAGCACGTGCTGTGCAGTGTTCACTTACAGTGTAGAGCACGTGCTGTACAGTGTTCACTTACAGTCCAGACGACTTCTGTGCTCACGCTGGAGTCGGAACGAATTTTGGCGCCCTCGCGCGATGCCGGGTCCGGGCGGAAACGCGCGGCGCGTGAGCTCGGCGCGCGGAAAGCGTTCCGGCCTGACACGTGACAGCCCGGGCTCATTCAAAACAAACAGATAACCTCAAGGTGATGGTGATGATGGTGGTGATGGTGGTGGTGATGGTGATGATGGTGGTGATGGTGATGGAGAGAGATGATGATGGTGATGATGGTGGTGATGGTGGTGGTGATGGTGATGGTGGTGATGATGGTGATGGTGGTGGTGATGGAGAGATGATGATGGTGATGGTGGTGGTGATGGGTGATGATGGTGATGATGGTGGTGACGGTGATGGAGAGATGATGATGGTGATGGTGGTGGTGATGGTGGTGGTGATGATGGTGGTGATGATGGTGGTGATGGTGGTGATGGTGGTGGTGGTGATGGAGAGAGATGATGATGATGGTGATGATGGTGGTGATGGTGATGGAGAGAGATGATGATGGTGGTGATGGTGGTGGTGGTGATGATGGTGGTGGTGGTGATGGAGAGATGATGATGGTGGTGATGGAGAGATGATGATGGTGGTGATGGTGATGATGGTGGTGATGATGATGGTGGTGGTGATGATGATGGTGGTGATGATGATGGTGATGATGGTGGTGATGGTGATGATGGTGGTGATGATGGTGATGATGGTGGTGGTGATGGTGATGATGGTGGTGGTGATGGTGATGATGGTGGTGATGATGGTGGTGGTGATGATGGTGATGATGGTGGTGATGGTGGTGGTGGTGATGGTGGTGATGGTGGTGGTGATGGTGGTGGTGATGGTGATGATGGTGGTGGTGATGGTGATGATGGTGGTGATGGTGGTGATGGTGGTGATGGTGATGATGGTGGTGATGGTGGTGGTGATGGTGGTGATGGTGATGATGATGGTGGTGGTGATGGTGGTGATGGTGATGATGGTGGTGATGATGATGGTGGTGGTGATGATGATGGTGGTGGTGGTGATGATGGCGGAGAGAGGTGATGATGATGATGGTGGTGATGGTGGTGATGGAGAGAGATGATGGTGGTGATGGAGAGAGATGATGGTGGTGGTGGTGATGGAGAGATGATGATGGTGGTGGTGATGATGGTGGTGGTGATGGTGATGATGGTGGTGGTGATGGTGATGATGGTGGTGGTGATGATGGTGGTGGTGATGATGATGATGGTGGTGGTGATGGTGATGATGGTGGTGATGGTGATGATGGTGGTGATGGTGATGATGGTGGTGATGATGGTGGTGATGGTGGTAATGGTGGTGGTGATGGTGGTGATGGTGATGATGGTAATGGTGGTGGTGATGGTGGTAATGGTGGTGGTGATGGTGGTGATGGAGAGAGAGATGATGGTGATGGGAGATTACGATGGGCGAGGAAGATGGTGAATTCCATCTTTATTCTCCGTATTTACCCGGGAAAGCGACCTGGCCCCAATGATAACCCCAACGAAGTGGCTAATCATGTTTACATTTATAGCAGCCACATACTCTAAACACGTGTTGTTGATTCTAAATGTGTAGGGGGCAAACTGGGAGAGAGACACGCAAACTCCAAATATACAGCAGCAGCATGCGTCAGTGTCGGAATCGAACCCACGACATCCTGTATACCAGGCGAGGTTGTTAACATCTCATAGCCACCAGTCAATAATTATGATTATTATCCAACAGCATTTAGTTGGTAATAGGTTTTTACCCTTTCAACTGGTACAAAATTGACACCTTTATACAAGGCATCATGTTTGCAATAACCACAACACAAGCAGTCAAAATGCAAACAAAAAAAACAACTCTGATAATGATAATGATATGCATTGTCATCTGGTCCAACACCAATCGGAGTTGTTTCTTTTTGTTTCAATTTTGACTGCTTGTGTTGTGGTTATTGCAAGCATGATGCCTTGTATAAAGGTGTCAGTTTTGTACCAGTTGAAAGGGTAAAAACCTATTACTATATTTTACCACTGGTAAATGAGGTCTCGTACCATTTCGTCTGACAAGCAAACACCAACTTCAATGTCTGCTTGGGTTTGTTGACATTGGCGTGTGGAGCATCACTATTTATTTATATTTATGTTTGCATAGACCACAATACCTGCAGTCGTAATGCAAACAAAAAACATAACTCTGAAAATGTATGCACTGTCCTTGAAGTTGATTGGTCCACACCCGAGACAAACATGACTCCTCGTAAAAAAGGGTGTCAGTTTTGTTGCCAGATAAAAGGGTAAAAAAAAGTATCTTTTTCTACTGGCAAATGAAGCTCCAATGGTGTAAATGCTTACCCCGAGCTCTCATACTCTGATGGTGCATTGTCTTTGAGTTGTCCGCCTTTTGGCGTCATCTGGTCCAACACCATGTGAGACTAGGCTCTAAGGAAAGCTGTCTCGGGTGTGGACCAATCAACTTCAAGGACAGTGCATACATTATCAGAGTTATGTTTTTTGTTTGTATTACGACTGCAGGTATTGTGGTCTATGCAAACATGACTCCTTGAAAAAAAAGGTGTCAGTTTTGTTGCCAGATAAAAGGGTAAAAAAAATTAACCCGTAAAAACAAAGTTTTTCGCTATAAATCCTTTATATGCGTGGCGGCTAGAGTCCTCTCGTCCTCTGGCTTGAGATGGCTGCCACCTATGGGTCAGATGATTGCATTGCACCATTAAGGAATTGGTAATTAAATATAATATTTTTGTCCTAAAAAGTGTAAAATTTAGGGGAAAAAATTTCACGAACATTAATTGTCATGCACAACGAGTCTGTGTGGAAAATGTCAGCTCGATTGGATCACGGGAAGTGGGTTAAAAAACGACCGAAAGATTTGCACGGTCGTAAGCAAGCAAGCGAACTTAATATAAAGGATTTAAAAACAATTACCATATTTTTCTACTGGCAAATGAGGTTCCAATGGAGAACGACATAGTTACTAATTAAATCCACAACATTCACTCTCCAACACACCGGTGGGCTGAAGCAGTAACTATTTGACGTTTCGTTTATGTGACGAATCCCTTACTTTTCGATTTGAAGCTTTCGTGACTGCAGGGATTCATCTTATTGGTTCTTTCGGTAAAGTCACGTAGAAGGGAAATAATAAAATATTACATAATAAAAATAAAACATAATAAAAGAATAAAAATAAACATAATAAAATTTCGACTTAAAGCTTTCGTGACTGCAGAGATTCATCTTCTTGGTTTTTTCGGTAAAGTCACGTAGAAGGGAAGAAATAAAATAATAAAAATTAAACATAATAAAATAATTCTCACGACGTTTGGCCACAACGCAAGCAGCCGTCCTCAGACCTGTTCTTCACCTGAGGACGGCTGCTTGCGTTGTGGCCGAAACGTCGTGAGAATTATTTTATGTTTTATTTTTATTATTTCCCTTCTACGTGACTTTACCGAAAGAACCAAGAAGATGAATCCCTTACTGATTGACCGTGTCGGGTGGTGGAGGGTTTCGAAACAACATTCATACCAACTTGATTTAACCCCAAAAAAAACGTGATTATGAATAAGGGGACGTCCATAAATGACGTCACGCACCTAGGGGGGGGGTCAGATTTTTGTGACGATGTGTGACGAGGGTGGGGGGAGGTTTGAGAAATGTGACGTCACATCAAAAATGCGCAACTTTAAATAAATATATAATTGTTATAACAACACTAATTGTTATAACAACACTCCTACAACATCAGAGTGCAGCGCCACATTAAATACACACTAGTTTAAAGCGATTTGAAGCATTTTTTATTTTCAAAATGTAAATATGGTTTTTGGGGGGGGGCAGAGCTTTGTGACGTCATATTTGAGGGGGGGGTCTGACTTTTTGTGACGCCGTGTGACGAGAGGGGGGGGGGTCAAAAATCGCCCAAAATCGTGTGACGTCATTTATGGACGGCCCCTTATTTTATATGAATAAAATATTGGTCGCGAAAGCTTGCGGCGTGTTCTAGTGTCCGCGTGTGTCCGCCAGGGGGCGCTGCAGCTCCACTCGCCTCTTGCGGTCTCACACTGTGGAGGGAAGTGATGTGTTGCCTGTCAGGGGGAGAGTGAGTGATGTCTGTGTGTGTGTCTGTGTGTGTGTGTCTGTGTGTGTGTGTGTGTCTGTGTGTTTGTTTGTGTGTGTGTCTGTGTGTATGTGTGTGTGTGTATGTGTGTGTGTTTGTGTGTGTGTATCTGTGTGTGTGTCTGTGTGTGTATGTGTGTGTCTGTGTGTGTGTGTCTGTGTGTGTGTGTCTGTGTGTGTGTGTATGTGTGTGTGTCTCTGTGTGTTGTGTGTGTGTGTCTGTATGTGTGTCTGTGTGTGTGTGTCTGTGTGTGTGTGTCTGTGTGTGTGTGTCTGTGTGTGTGTGTGTCTCGGTTAGTCGACCCGTGGCACCTGGGTCTGCCCCGTGACCGCCTGCCAGCGAGCGTTCGACACTTCACGTGGCCTCAAGGTGCACTTGGCCTGGCACAAGCATCGTGGTGACGTCACCGCCACTTAGTGGCGAATGGCGGTTGTTGTTGTTGTCTCTGTGTGTGTCTCTGTGTGTGTGTGTCTGTGTGTGTGTCTCTCTGCCTGTGTGTGTGTCTGTGTGAGTATCTCTCTGTGTGTCTCTCTCGGTGTGTGTGTGTCTCTATGTGTGTCTGTGCGTGTGTCTCTCTGTCTGTGTGTGTGTGTCTATGTGTGTGTGTCTCTCTCGGTGTGTGTGTGTCTCTATGTGTGTCTGTGCGTGTGTCTCTCTGTCTTTGTGGTTTATAGTTTTCCACGCTCGCCAGCCACTGCATTAATCCGCCAGCCGCGGGGGGGGGGGCTGTGGGGGGCGGGCTGTGTTTACTCTGCAAAGGTCACGGACGAATTGTACATTCATTACTGACACGGCGCAGCCAGGCGCTGAGAGTGGGGGGCTTGCACTGGAGAGGCGTGGGGGGCTTGTAGCATAGGAGTGGGGGTGTAGTATAGGAGAGGGGGTGTAGTATAGGAGTGGGGG